TTAAAACTGGGTATGTGCTTAAGTTCCTTGCTGAAACTGGGAGGTAATATAATAAGGAAGCCCTGCACTAAAAAGTCTGATTTTTGCCTTTTGAACAATAATTTGAGTAAGTGTCCTATATGTGGGTTAATCATGAAAGGATCAGAAATTCCATGGGTTTGTTATAACAGGTTATTATTCACATACCGTAACAGAAAATTCAGCTTCTCAACTGTGGATCCCAAAGCCCCTGGAAGGGAATTCTGCAGTGGCTCAGTAACAAAGCAGCAAATCCTTATGATCAATCTGAATGGTCTGTTAAGGTGTTAACCTTTATTGGCAATCAAAGGAGAATAATTCCTGATTAACATAAAAGGATAGCAAATAGATTTGTTTTAAATGTATAGTAGTTCATCTCAAAGTGTATACAGTCCTGCCAGAGTACATCAGATTATAATGAGTCAATTAATGTGATATGATCTGAAGTGACAATGCAAACTGATGCTTGTTCTCTGTTTTACATTAATAAAATGCACACTCCTTTCCCTGAAATAAGTAATTACTTACAGAACATGGACATTTTAATCCTTATACATTAACAGAAGGGTATGACAGTTATTGAGCAACTGCCATATTTATATTTTCTGGATTTAAAAAGTAATTTAACTCCTTTCAAGATTTAAGGCAATTGTTACCATTTTGTTCACCAAATACATACTTGTATGAAAGGTTTATAATGGAAATATTTTAGTGTGTGACATGCCCCAAGCATATTCAAATGTCCTGTTTGTCATTCAAGTGCATTATAATCTAACATGACTGACAATTTGTACTGCAGTTGGTGGAGCTATAAAAAGCAATATTTTTATAGATGCCACTATACTTGAAATAGTTTGTGCTTCATCCTACTTACCTCATAAGAACCAGCTCAAGTTGTAAAAGCCTGAGTACCATGTGCCCTGAATGTCACTAGATTCTGACATTTGTCTAGTTTACATTACAAGTTGTATTAGTATAACCAACATCCTTTTAAAATGAATTACATTAAATCAGTTCAACCTACTGTGTGGACACTGACATCAGTTTAAGCATAGTTTATGTCTATTTCACTTCTAAGGAAGATTTTTGAAGACCCAAGTGAGAGTTTGATGTCTTACTCCCATTGCTTTCCAAAAGGAGATAGATGCCTTTGTGCCTCTTAAGATCTCTCCTTAATTCATAATTAATTAAAATCACTGTGAAATAAACCCCATTGAAATTGTTTTAAGAATGTCTACATAGGGGAATGTATTAGCTTAACAAAATCAATGAAAATGCAAGGTGTAACTGGAAAGTTGCCTGTTCTGGTTTACAAGAGATTAAAAGCAGTCTGGGAAAGGGCTGTTCCAGGAGCCTATTAGAAAGAGGCATGAGGAAGCCAACTGGAGCCTGGCTGGGCTGTATAAAAGGATTGCTAGTCTGAGGCAATAAACTCTTGCTCCAGCTTTGGAGGGCGAGGGACCTAGCTGCCTGCTAGCAGGGATTCTTTTGCCAGATCAGTGCTGGAAAAAGGCAGGGTGGACCAGGGAAGCTTGGGCCTGAATAAATCAGGCTGAGGCCCAGAGGCAGGGGCCTAAGGAGGTACTAGGGCTGCAGAAGAGCAACCTGAGAAGGAAAAGGCAGCAGGTCCAACCCTCCTTGCTAATGATGAGTAGTTAGTTCAGACTGAAATTCGCCCCTGAGGAAAGGGGCTAGATAAAGAATGACAGTGGGTCAGTAAGGCAACATGGGCTTATGGGTAACTAGGAAGGAAGAAACTTGGGAGTGGGTACCCCCAGGAGGACAGTACCCAGGCTAAGGGGCATTGCATTTTGAAAGGGGTGTGGGTCCTGATGAGTGGTGGAGACAGTAACAGGAGGCAGGTAAGAGACAGGAAAGGCATTGCCAGGAGAGGGCATTCAAAGGCTGAAGAAGAGCTAAGTCCCAGATTGGCCAGCAGGAGGTGTCATGATGGTGAGTCACAACATGCTACACAGAGCGTGTCTTAATAAACATATTGTACCAGTTAAAATGCAGTTTTAAAACCAATTCAAAACATTGCATAGATGCTCTAATATCAATTAAATCTGTTTTATATCATCTTGCATGTACAACAATAAACTACTGTGTCCCAGATTTAAAGAGATATGAGTGTCACTAGACAAAGTCACACCATTTCATCTGAATGCTACATTTTTAGTTAAACCAATATAGCATGTAAGAGCTGGATAACATTCTAAAGTACATACATGATTTCAAAGATTAAAGGTTTGTCAGTACAAATGGCGTGGCAAACTGCAGTATAGCTCTGCGCTAGCATACCACATAGTAACTCTTTATGTGGACCTTGCTACCTTATATGGTTCCATAATGTGCATTGGCATGCCCTTCTTTGAAATGGAAGTAGTAGATCAAGCCTGGAGTCTCAATTTGTAATGCAAATGAGGTACGTAGGAGCCCAATCTCACTGAAACTCCGTGGGACTTGAGTTCTGCTTGGAAACACTGATTATTAAGGTCCAAAAATCAAGACACTTCTCTAAATACTACATAGGGAAAATGGCAAACATGTTTTGTTTGTAATGATACTCAGAGATGATGCTGGACTTTGTGGAAAAGTCACCTGAAGACAAAGATAAGAAATGGTGACATAAAAGGTTATCAAAATGTCCTTGTTTCCTCTCACCTGCACCCCATCCAAATAAAACTATACTAGGATGATATACTTACAGGCTGTGTCTAGACTGGCCAGTTTTTCTGGAAAATCAGCCACTTTTCCGGAAAAACTTGCCAGCTGTCTACACTGGCCGCTTGAATTTCCACAAAAGCACTGACTTCCTACTGTAAGAAATCAGTGCTTCTTGCGGAAATACTATTCTGCTCCCGTTCAGGCAAAAGTCCCTTTTGCGCAAAGCTTTTACACAAAAGGGCCAGTGTAGACAGCTCAGATTTGTTTTCCACAAAAAAGCCCTGATCGGGAAAATGGCGATCGGAGCTTTTTTGCGGAAAAGTGCATCTAGATTGGCATGGACGCTTTTCCGCAAAAAGTGCTTTTGCGGAAAAGCGTCCGTGCCAATCTAGACGCTCTGTTCCGACAATGTTTTTAACGGAAAACTTTTCCGTGGAAAGCATTTCCAGAAAATCATGCCAATCTAGACGCAGCCACACTGGCTTATATTTAAGGCTACATTTTAGTCACAGGTATTTCTAGTAACATTCATTGACAGGTCCTCGGCAGCAAACAAAAAATTCATGGCCTGTGATGTGTCCATGACTTTTACTATATACCCCTGATTAAAATTGGGATGGAGAGTGTCCCAGAGGGGTGCCAATGTTTCTTGGAAGGGATGGCCAGGGAGCACTGCAAGTATTTCACAGCCTGGGAATGAGGTTGGCAGGGTGGTTGGAGCAGACTCTCTACCTGGCTCCTGGAAAGCAATGACCTTCAGCTCCTAGTTCCATATGTTGCCTCTGCTCCACCCTGAGCCCCATTTCTGCAACCTCCATTGGCTGGGAAACAAAGCTATTGGGATCTGCGGGGGTGATGCCTGAAGGCAGGGGGAGAACATGGAGCTAAGAGCTGTGTAAGGTCAATCCCTGTTGCCTTTCCTGAAAGTCCCCCAGGTAATCACTGTCCTGCACACCAATCCACATCCTTTAGCCTCCTCACAATCCACCCACTGCTACTGGAGGGCAGGAGGCCTAAGATGGCCCCAGCAGTGCTGCACTGGTCACTGCAAACAACACAGTGGTCATGGAAAGTTACAAAGTCTATGACTTCCATGACAAATAGGGAGTTTTACTTATGATATTGAAATGAAGATTTACTAAATAGTAAGTTTAAATATATTTAAAACAATTATTATTAATTACTAGCAGAAATACCTGGTGTCGCCTGGGGAAAATATAGTAAAAGGTGTGATGAATGAATTACGTCAATGACATTAACATAGTATATTTTATTGGAAATACTTTTCTCTTATATATTATTTTAAGAAATTAACATAGCTAGTGATGTGCTTACAAAACGCATTTACATTTAACTCATGTCTTGATAACAAAAGGTGTGGTGAATGAACTACGTAAATTATGTTAACATAACATATTTCATTGGAAATACTTTTTCTTTTATCATAGGGAAAGGATCTTGCAGTTGCAGTTTATGTGACACACTTAACAGAAGAATCCAGCAAATGCCTATGATCAGGTGCTACTAAAAGCTAATTAGTGGCCCAATTGGGGCTTTCAAGATGATTTCAAGATGTAACCAATCCAGTTATTTAAGTTAGGAAATCAGTAGTATCCATGCAAAATTTTGTGTTTCTATGATCAGGTGCTATTAAAAACTAATTATCAGTGGGCCCAATTGGGGCTCTGAGGGAACCGGGGGAACCGATTTTGAGATATAACCAATCCAGTTATTTAAGTGAGGAAATCAATAGTATACGTGCAAAATTTGGTGAGGTTTCTAGCTCTTACCGTTTCGGAGATCTTTCAGGACAAACAAACAAAGAAACAAAAACAAACAAATATAACTCAGGCCAAATTCATGCTGCCATCATTATAGTTTTGCCAATTCTCCTTGAATTGATGTTGTTGCTGAAAGGATGAGGGTATGTTGTACTAGAAAATATTTTAAGTAAAGAAATACAGAAACCTGAAATGACAAGAAACTCCCTTTCCTGGAAAAACCCAGAAGCAGGATGATACAGAAAGAAAATGATATAAACAGCAAAAGTTGTGTAAATTAAAGCTTGTATATGCATACTGTATAGGCTACCAAATGCTTAACATGCTTAATGGTTAACTCCTCATAATAAGAGAATGTATAAAATGTATAAAACCCCTCAAAAAAGGCCCAAATTGAAAAAAAAAAACAAAATACTAAAAGAAAGTGACTAAAAGATCAAAGTTGGTGATGACCATCATAAAATTATATAAGAAAAAAAATTCTCATTGCCCTGAAATATGTTAAGTTGATCCTCCTACTAACTCCAGCTTATTTGTCTAATTCTGGCCCAAATATGTGGTCAAACAGCATAAGTAACAATAATAGAGTGTAAACTTGTTCAAATAAAGGCAAAAATAATGAAGCTTAAATTGGATGAACTAGTAATTATTTAGACTCCCAACAACTCCTAAGATTAATAAAAACTGAGCTAATCTCTTAGATATTGTGACTTAGTTGTTGAATTTAAAAGATATATTTTACTGTAAAATGGTATTTCTGGAAGTCTGAGAAACTGAAGAAGATGACTTAAGAAGTGAAGAAGCTATTAAAATGATAACATTTGGTGACTTTAAAAGGGTATTGTTTAATAGCAGCTGCAGCTGGCATGACATGTCATTCCAGGAATGTGTGTAGGTAGAGGACTTTCAAAACTGTTTATTTTCTGTAAAGGAGCATTTAAAGACATTGGGCCAAATCAACGTGTGATGTAACTTCATTGCTTCCAGCTGAGTCATACAAAGAATGAAGATAACTTATTTAGCTTCAGTGGAAAATTTAAACTTGTAATTTTTGAAACAGCAGATATATAAAAGGTTAATGAAAGAATAATAGATGTTATAAAGCATGTAGAAGAGATGAGCAGCAAATGAACAGAATAAGGACCATCAGAAAATCATTAAGATAATGGGATGAAGTAACAAAAACAGATTCATCCAAGTGAGGAATTAGGAGACATAACAAAAGAGGGTGGCAGGCTCTCTTATTTGGCCGGGCAACATAGCAATCAAAATGAAGGCTTTGACGGATAAAATATTAAAGCAAATATCATGGAGAAGCTCAAAGAAGATTGTGTAAGGACAAATAGTTTATATTAACTTGAGCAATATCATGAGTGTTGCCCTTAATATGACTCCCATCCACACAGAAATCTCTAGCTCAGGTTAAGTGGTGCTTTAAACTTGAGCTAACTGGCCCAACAGGGCTATGGATGGAAGATCATTGTTTGATCTAGCAATATAGCAGAGAGACATACAGATTTCAGCTTCAGTTAGCACCATTCATAACCTGCTAATAGTTGCTTTGTGCTGCTAAATAAGTTACTCTGATGAGTTGAGTGCTGTTTTGATGTGTGGCTGTTTTCAATTGAGCTAAGCTAGCTTGAATTATTTCTGTTAACTCTAGCACTGAAGACAAGTTAAAGCTCCAGATGGTTAACTCTGTTTAATGATGTCCTAAGCACCATCACTGTGTCTAGACTACTTCCCTCTTTCGACAGATGGATGTAAATTAGATACTTCGAAATTGCAAATGAATTGGGGATTTAAATATCCCATGCTTCATTTGCATAATCGCATCATGGAGAGGTTTACAGGATCTTTCGAAAAAGCCTGCCGTTTTCAAAAGAACCGCGTCTAGATCGTGGTTTTACTTTCAAAATGGTGCTTTTTCAAAAGAGTGCATGACGCAAATGAAGTGTGGGATATTTAAATCCCCAATTCATTTGCAATTTCTAAGTGTTTAATTTACATCCCACTGTTGAAAGAGGGATATAGTCTAGACACGGCGTCTAAGTACACCTGTAATGTTCTTCAGCTGATCCAATTTCCAATGACTGATGCACAAGCCCAAAAGAACTCTAGCTTAACTCTCAGATCTTAGGTTCAATTGCAAATCATGGAACTCCAAACTGTCATGTGTATAGTCATGGTTTGAGAACAACCATATTAAGAACAATAATAAAAAGTACCCCTCAAAAACTCTTCCAATGGAAATATGTCCTTGACACAAATCAAAATACTAACATCTTCCCTCAGAAAAGACTCTAATTTGTAGATTTTAAGGTCAGAAGGAACCATTGTGATAACCTAGTCTGACCTCCTGCATAACAGAGGCAACAGATTTCACACAATTTTTACTTCATCTAGATTTTCATCTTATTTATCATATCTGCTGTGTTATGATGATGTGTTCCAATGGTTGGTTATTCTCATTTTTAAAATGTGCACCTTATTTCCAAATAACTCTGCTGGTTTCAGCTTCCTGTTATTGGCTATATTTGTTTGTTAAGTTAAAGAGCCTCATAGCATCAGATTTCTCTCTTTTCCAAAACTTGATGGTATTTCTCCCCACCCTAATTAAGACAACCAATAATGGTCAAATCTGCAAACTAAGAATAGTCAAACCAGTTTGGATGAAATAAGAACTAACCTGGGCCTTTCTCCCAAGACAAAGACAAAATAAACTTTAGTTTATATGAAGATAAGTTCTGGATTTGAAACTGAGGTGTTTTGACTAAAAGACAAAATCACGTAAGCCACCAAAACAGGGCTCTTCTATATTGGTCTTTGAACCATAAGCCATATTTTTTAGTATTTTTCATTTTCTGAATAGTACATTTTTCGGTGTCTCCAACATGCTGACTTTAGTTTGTTTCTAAATGATTTATTGTTACTGTGACAAAATAAAAACAAAAAGATACTGAGGTGTTTTGAGGATGCCACAGACTTTGCCAGAGATATGAATATAGGAATGAGGGCTCAGTATGTGCCAGTGATGACTCTCTATTTCATGGAGTTCATTTTCAAAGTTGGGGGCAGGACACTCTTAATCTGATTTCTAGAAATTATGAGATTCTCTCTTGTACTATGTCTCTTCCTCCTCTGAGCTATTTCTTCCCCATAATGTTCCTTTAAAACATTAAAATGAAAAACAGAAAAACCTCTTTCAGCCATCTTTGTTTCCAGACTATCTGTGGCAGAAGCCTATGCTTTTTCTAATTAATTCACCTCAACATAAAATTGTCATTAGAAAAACAAGAGCACAAAAATGTCAAAATCGACTACACCTCCCTGAAGAATATCTAAGCTAACATAGCTGCCTTCCTCAGGCTCACATTTGTATGTAGTCAGTGGCTTTCACCCCCTCTCAGATAGAAATTCCTACCATTTACACAATCTTCTATTGTGTCTGCCTTTTGTAGTTTTAGTCTTATGCACTGCTTTTTCCTTACCCTAGAAGTTCCTGAATCCTATAGGTGCTGAATTGAAGTTTGCCACTCCTGAACACCATATTACTTCCAAATCTTCACAATTCAACATGGAATTTAGCCTGAATAATAAATGAAAACAAGATTTGAAGATTTAGTCAGCAGCAGACAGACTAATACTCCAAGACAAAAGGTGGTGTCATAACGAGGGACCATCTGCAGAGCTGCTTTTCCCCTGGTCTGTGCTCTTATAATACATGGAGAGCTGGGCACTCTTACCTCAGAAATAGTTTGGGGATTTTTTTGCTGTTCGTTTTCCTTGAACCTGGAAACGCTAGCAGTACTCAATGCAAACCATCATTGTAGGCCAGGTAAAGAGCAGAAAGGATGTTGTGGATGCTAATATTTATACTCTTAAATGGCACCCTCTGGTGCTATGAATACAGCACTGTAGATTTGTATTAAAATGCATGGTAAGATGCCTAATTCTTGTTTGTTATCTGTGGTTTTTATGAGTGGCTGAAATCGGTGGGCCCTTACTTCCTTGTGGCTAACGTGGCAAATTGTTTTCAGTATCCTACACAAGAATAACAGCCAAAAATAAAGGAGTTGGGAGGAGAGGGGCTATGGATATGTGTCTCCTCCAGGCAATAATCTCTACCTGACAAAGAGACTCTTCTCCTCCGTACATTTATCTCCAAAGCCCCACTCAGGCTCTTGGCATGAGCTCTATTCTATTGATGATTTGTGTGTGTATCCCAATCCCTCATAAGAGTTAATCAATTCCATTTGTTTTGAATTCAGCAGTGCTGATCACATGTACCCATCCATACTACACTGCTTATACCTGAAGTGAAAGATACAATTTCTAAACCATCAGCTTTGTATCTGCCAATAAGCACAAATCTATTTTTGTTTGTTTTTGTTTTTTGCAGGAAATCAGTTAGCTCTGTGAGATTTAGAAAGTTTTAGCACATCTGCACTCAGGCACCAGCTACAAAGCAGGGTCTTTGCAAAATGCCCAAATTGTCTAGAAGAGGAAAAGTCTACGGTGTAGCCAATAATGATGTGTAGTAGCTAGGAATCTTGGTTTATAACATGACATACCTCCTCACACTTAAGAAAACTGCAAGCACAAATGTAGCCAAGAATAAAAGATATTAAATACATTTCAGATATAGAGGTGAGATATACATATTAATTAATATTTTAAGACTCGGCCAACAGTTTAGCATAGGTTGACTGAAAGATAAGTAAAAGATGTGGTAAGTGCTCATGTTCTGGAAATGATGCAGCCATGTAATACCACAAGATACCCAACATTAACCTTTCACAGGACTGTGTGATAACTTCAAGTTGATATGGTAACTCATTGGCCTAGATGTTAATGAAACAACGAGAAATGGGGCACCCCTCAAATTAATGGGGTATGGAGACATGGATAAGGAAAAAGGACCCTTATGCATACATTTGAGCTTCAGTAGATGTAAGTATAATGTGGGATAAATAGTGTTGTCCAGCCTGCATGCTGAGAGGGACATGTGGGGAGACACTAGGACAGTGGTTCTCAAAGTGTGGTCCGCAGACCATCTTGCAGATGAGCCACAGGCTTGGGGCTCAGCTCCTCCCTAAAAGGAGGAGCCTGTTCTGCCACTTCAGCTCCCTCCCCCTTCCTGCCATGAGGTTGGAGTGCCAGCGCCAATTTCCCACTGCAAGGGAGGAGGAAGCCCAGGAGCTTGTGGGCTGCATCTGGCTTCCTCAAAAGCTGCACAAACCAGATTGCATCACACCCATAAATGCCTGTTGGTTGAGGACTTCTCTTGGAAAAGCACTTGCCGACTCTTTACCAAAGTGGCTTGTGGAGATGATGTGGAGGAATTGTTGTATTTTAGACATACAAAACCTCAAAGGTCTTTTGCCGGTGGGAATGTGCTGAACAAGACCAGGCCTGCTAATCACAAGTTCACCAGGCCTTACATTTTGAGACCATACTAGGATTTAATATAAGAACATAACATAAGAACATAACATAATAATAATGCACAAGTTATTACACTCTGGAGTAAGCTGATGGATCTCTGCTAATAAAACTGCATCAAACATATGTTCTGGAGTAAGCTGATGGATCTCTGCTAATAAAATTGCATCAAACAATGCAATTGATACCTATACCTAGATTTACCTAGTTGATACCTATACCTAGATTTACCCCCTAATTTCCTTTTAGAGTAATTTTTAGAAAGGACTTTTCTTCTTCAGTTATGATACTGCAAACTGCAATAAAGTCTGACATCTATTCTTGGCACATAACATATGACATAAGTTATGATTTCCTTTGTGCTGCCTTTTCTGAAGCTTTCTTTGCTTTGTTTCCATCTAGCTTTGTCTCCATCTGAAATACAATGAATCACCAAACATGAGAGAGAGAGAGAGAGAGAAAGAGACTTGCTCAGATACTATCATCAGAATAATAACAGCATCATTATCTGCATTGTGCAATAATAGGATGTGTCAGATCAGTAGTTGTACCATAATACACGACACACTCTCCTATAGTATCACATCAGAAATTTCACACACATACTTGCACACACATTTGAGCTGAGAAAGTCTATCATTTTTAATAACTATCTCTTTTCTGAGCAGTAACTAAACCAATTTTTAAAATATAAATGTACTTTTTTTTTGTCAGGCTACGGCTACACTGCCATTTTGTTTGTGGAAGAAGATATGCAAATCACACTAGCATTTGCATATCTTCTTCTGATTATTTTTTGAGGAAGAGGTTTTGCTGCTATTTGGTCCCGTGTAGGGCCAAATGTCGGGGAAAAAAATCTCTTTCGTAAGACATTGTAAACCTTGATTTATGAGCATGCCTATCTCTTCCCCTCTTGTCCCTATTATGAATCCTCAGCTGCCTCTATAGTTTAAATACACCCTTTCCCAGAACTCCATCTGTGTGTGTGTGTCTAGACTACAGGGTTTTGTCGACAAAAGTGGCCTTTTGTTGACAAAACTATACCTGCATCTACACTTCCTCTGCCTTCTGTCGACAGTAAGTCAACAGAACGCAGCAGCTTTGTTGACAGCAGTAAACCTCCTTTTATGAGGAAGAACGCCTTTGTCAACAGAGATCTGTCGACAAAAGGTGTGTGTGGACGCAGGGAGCCAGTTCTGTCAACAAAAAAGATCTCCAGGAAGAAGCCCTGGTGGACAGTCTAGCCTTTATAGGTACAGCACCTCTGTGGTTCCTGGCCACAGCTTCTTGAAGGCACAGGCACCCAAACAGGCCTTGTTGTCTGGCAGACTACTACACTGACTACTAATGGCTAAAAGTTCATTATGTCCATCCATTTCTAACAAACAGGCCATGGACCACATGCAGCCCACGGGCCACATGTTGAATAGCTCTTCACTAACAGCATGAATACAACCGTAACGAAGTCTTTACAAATAGAATTTATTAATAGGGTATATCTATGTCACAGGTAGACACCAGCAGCTGGCCCATGCTGCCTCACAAAGCTTAGGCTAAGAGACTATTTAATTGAGGTGCAAACATTCAGGCTCAGGCTGCAGCTCAAGCTCTGGGACCTCTCCTGTATACACCCAACCTGCAGGGTCCTATAGCCAGGGCTCCAGTCCTAGCAGCTATACTGCAATTGAACGACCTCTTAGCCTGAGCTCTGTTAGGGGGTTTTAACTGCAGTGTATCTATACCCAACATAGGGTATGTCTACTCTACAGGACAAAAATCAAATTAAGATACTACGTTAATTGTGTAGCTGAAATCAAAGTAGCTTAACTCAGCTTTCAGTGCTGTCTACCATGCAGGAAGTCGAAGAAAGAACTTTCTTCCTTCAGCTTCCCTTACTCCTCATGAGAGCAGGGTTACTGGCATCAACCAGAGTGCCCCTCTCACTTTGAATTAGCTAGGTCTCTAATTTGAACCCTGGAAGATCCACAGTCACAGCTTTGATCTTCCTCTACAGTGTAGACATACCCACAGTGATTAAATACTGATTCTCTTCTGTGAAACAAATAGTTTTACTATAGAGGGATTCTATTCTATTAGGAAATGCATTTGTTAAATGGTAAAAGTTCTGTGTCTCCCATCATATTTTCTGTATGTTTTTTTTCAAAACTAGATAATGAATTTATTTCTGCTAGGTGAATATAAAAGCTTGAAAAAGAGAGCCCATTCTGAAACAAACACTGTCATATCCAGTTAAAATCTGCTTTGATTCATACTATTGCAATCCAGAGTAACTTCATTTTCCACAGTGACACACATTTACATTAGTAAAATGATCATCAGAATTTGGATATAATGATTAACGAAGGTGCAGAATATTTGATTAAAGCTTGCTGTGGTGTATAGTTCATCATGTGGTGTTATAGCACTCACGATGCTAAGAAGCTCAGAATAATCTTACCCAGTCACTGCTACAGCTTATGCTGTTTATATCAGTCAATAGTAGGGTCACTTTTCAGGGCACCTTGTATGCTAATGATTCACTGCTCTGTAGGCCTTTCTGAAGGTGGCTCTCCGTTTGCTAAAGGTTAAGTCAGAGAATCAGAATTAGTTCAGTTCCAAAAGCTCATCAACATAATTATTTCAAAGAGGGTAAAGCGATCATAAATGTGTGTATATAATAGGTCAAATTTCATGAAATTATCATCATAAAACAGTTCAAGTCCTTAAACTGAGACTTTATTGTCATTTAAATTAGGTGATACATTGAAGGTTCTACATGAATGACAAAATGGCCCTTAATTAGAGTGTATTGTCTAATTTTAATTCTAACATAATGATATATGCCAGATTCATAATGGTAAAATCAATTTACAGCCTATGAGTTTGGCTCTATAGCACATTTCTGGCTGTTCCTATTAAAGTATATGTTTTTTGCGCACAAACAAGCAGCATGGACAAGCACCTAGCCTCTGACTGCAGCTCTGACCCTGGATCCCTTGGCTACTGATTCCTGCTCCAACTATAAGACACAGCTGTCCACATATTTGTTACTAACAGCCCCAATCTCATATTTTTTAGCCATACTTTTGCTGAAACAATATTTGTGAAGCAGATACTAAATGGTCAGATTTTGCACTTCTTAACCTACATACCACAAAATCATGCAATGTATGTCAGTCTGCAAAGCCCTTTTACATGAAAAACAAAAATATTCAATAGTGGAGTGGATGTGGCAAAGGAAAGACCCCTTTCAGGAGTACTCCCTCTGTAGATAGCTGAGTGAACGCCAATGCCCTTTTTTATGAGATGGATATGGATGACAAGGTAACTTTTTTCTGGTACACAAATTTATTTTCTACTGTAAGATCTCACATTTATCCAGTTTTGTACCTCAGTCATGCCTAAAAGAAAATATTGGCTGAAATCTCATTATGACTTCTTCAATAAATGACAGCTCTACGAACATGAGAACCCACATGCAAATGACACTTGCTGTGCTTTAGAAAACATTCTACCATTTTGCCAGGATTTTAAAAAAAAACCTATATTATTAATCAAATATGTTAAAGATAAGAAATCCACAGTAAAATAGAAATGGCCAGACTGGACAAAACTTGAGGTCCATCTAGCCCAGTATCCTGTCTCCATCAGTGGCTAGTACATACAAGAGCCCCTATTCATACAGGGACAGACACAAATAAATGAGGGAATCAGATTTTGCCAGCTTATGAGTGTAAATTCTGATAGAACAGAGCAAAACTATGGAAGACAATGGAGCTATACTAGATGATTGTTTCTCCTCAACACTTTTATTCAAAAACATTTTGACTTAAATAAAGTTACAAGCAGATAAAGGATTTAACTGATATAGCAGTTTGGAGAATGCTATGTTTCAAACAGTCTTAAAACGGACCTAGATACATTGAGAATTATTGAATATATTGTATGCTTTATTTCCAAAGAGGTTACAAATAAACAGCGTCATTCATTGCTTCTCCAATCCCTACAGTTTCTCCTCAGGAAAGTTGTAAGACAGTCACAACACGTAGGCTACGTCTACACTGGCATGATTTTCCAGAAATGCTTTTAACGGAAAAGTTTTTTGTTAAAAGCATTTTCGGAAAAGCGCGTCTAGATTGGCAGGATGCTTTTCCGCAAAAGCACTTTTTGTGGAAAAGCGTCCATGGCCAATCTAGTCGCAGTTTTCCGCAAAAAAGCCCCGATCGCTATTTTCGCAATCAGGGCTTTTTTGCGGAAAACAAATCTCTGCTGTCTACACTGGCCCTTTTGCGCAAAAGTTTTTTGGAAAAAGACTTTTGCCCAAATGGGAGCAGCATAGTATTTCCGCAAAAGCACTGATTTCTTACAGTAGGAAGTCAGTGTTTTTGTGGAAATTCAAGCGGCCAGTGTAGATAACTGGCAAGTTTTTCCAAAAAAGCAGATGATTTTGCGGAAAAATTTGCCAACTAGACACAGCCATAATGTTATATGTTCAGAATGTCTTCATATTGTCAGACATCTGTGTTTAAGGATAAGGGCAAATCAGAGCCTAGTAATTATTGTGGTTGATCAATAAACAGAGTTCCCAAATCAAAAAATCATAATTGAGGGATATGACCAGATTCTCTGTTCACATTCTTTCTCTTACTAAAAACTCCAATTTCCATCAAGAAAATCTAGTATGTTGGCAGTAGATACCCCTGGGAATCCAGTGCATCTCTAATATATCTTGCTTTGCATATAAATTATTTTTGTTTTCTGGTCCAGGTCAAGCATCCCACTTCCCTAGAAAACCAATTCCAATGTCCCTGTATGCTTAATTACCAGACTTGTGGATAAAAATTATTTGGAGATAAAAGCCAGTAAGATGCATACTCCAGCTTTTTGTCCCTTTCTACATCCCCAGCACTGTATAAACCCTCTGGATCCATATATAATTATGAACAAAATTAATGGAAGAGTTATTTTTTATTTGGTTCATTGGGTGTTTTTGTTTGATTTTGGTTAGATCTAGGAGCTTGACTCGAAACTCTATGAACCCTATCATATAACCTTACTCAAGAAAAAAAAATACTATTGAATTAAAATCAATAGAAACTAAAGGATTGGGTTCAGCTTATATATAAGTGAATGCTTTTACACTTTTGCCCTTTCAGATTTCAGGTCTTTTCACTTCTCTGATAAATTATGTTATTTAGGGGATTACAAGTAAAGTTTTTCTTACTATTTTGTATCATAGTATATCAGCTGTCTTCAGCTAGCCTGACGGAGTAAGAATTTACTAAATAAAATACCCCAATGTTTTAAATTCTTAATTATGTTCTTTACTTTCTAAGAAGAAAACCTAAACAGGATAAAATGATTCTTGAGAATGGTAAACCCTTGTATTTGACCAGATATGAATTTAGTTCCCCAAAATGCACCAAAAGTCTCCATAAACTTTAGCATAAAAGGGATAGTCCTATGGGGAACAATCTCTTTGGCTATGTCTACACTACCAGGTTATTCTGAAGAGTACATCTACACAGCAGTGCTAAAGTCGATTTAAGCTACGCAACATCAGCTATGTCAATTACGTAGCTTAAGTTGAAATAACTTAATTCAGCTTTTGGAACTGTCTACATGGCAGGAAGTCAAAGGAAGAACACTCTTCCTTTGACTTCACTTACTCCTCATAAAATGAGGGTTACCATGAGTCGGAGTAAGAAGTCCTCCAGCTCAATGTTATTTCTAAATAAAGGCTTGTAGTTTAGATGCACACTATGTTATTGAAAAATAATACTTCTGTGTAGACATGCCCGAAATAACTATTTTGAAATAAGCTTATTTGTCTTCACAAGCAGAAGTTATTATTTAAAAATAACAAGCCCTTTATTCCAAAATAACAGGCTTGATAGTGTGGACTCTCACCTTGTTATTTCAAAATATGGGAGTTATTTCGCAATAACTCCCCAGTGTAGACATGCCCTTAGTAAAGAAGCTGTCAGCCACATTCAGAGCTCTCATTTTAGCAGTTCAAACTCTCCCACATTGTTTAAAGAATAAATAATTGATTTAGTTACTTAATAAAAATGGGAATTAATCTGCAACAAACTTTGATAGGGTGTACTATACATGTCTGTTGAGCCCCATTAAACCTCCGACCAATTACATGTTAAAGCAACTGACAGCTTTAATATCACCTTTGACTTCCATGATACTTCACTCATTGCAGCCTGCAAAGATGAGCAAAATATTGTCACCAGAGATTCCAGTCAATGTCAGTTATATCAAATGATAAGAATGTTCTCTAGTATTCTCATGAGAAGCTGGTTAGAGTCTGGTATTAAAGGAATTGGTCCTTGGCTATTGATCCTTTGCTACTACACATTGCGGGTCCTTCTGAGGTTTTAAGACAAGTGAGCTAGAGCCTTGTGGCAAAACTCTCCTAATAGTATTTTTAAACTAATATAAATAACCAGAATGTCTTTAAATGACCTACAGACTTTTAAGAGATTTGAACTAAAATTTATTTATCCTATTCCATTTCCATTTCCGCCATTGATTCACTACAACACAAAGGGCAAGTTACAGTCTTATTTTTTTATCCAAAGTATGGGTGCCCAGCATGAGACACTCTCCACCTTTCTTTTCAATAACCTGCTTCCAGAGACACATTTTGCTTCTGCAGCTCATCTGATGTCTGTCTGAATGACCTCCAGAGTAGTCAATATCCAATAGTTTGCCTGAGGTTTCCTACTCTTTTGTTTATAAATTAAATAATTTTGAAAATGATTTGAATAAATTGTATCTGTGTGCTATTAATCTCCTTTTTTTCGTGCACTGAATATTTATTTATTAAAAAGAAACATCGCAACTATGTGATGTTCTTGCTATAGGACCCCATCTTGCAGTGAGCTGCATGCACTTGAATCCCTACTTCCATGTCAAGTTCCTTGAAGTATCAAGTCATTAGGCTTTATTTTCATGGATAGATTGAAGCCTCAATCTCTGATAGACAAGGAAAGCAGGGCAAACTGAAAAGTGTAGTCCATATTAGTAGTTGTAGCTACTGGCAAAGCATGAGAAGAAATAAAGGGAGTATATAAAACTGTATGCTTTACAGTGGAGATAGCCATACTGTGTGATTTTTCCTGAAAGATGAGGGCAAGGAAACTCACATTCTATATCATCTTTCATTTTGTAATCCTTTCCTCTTCAGAAATTTGGGGGTGGACACGATATAGATGTATCTGAAGCAAAGTATTAGATTGAAAATGCAGTTTGTTTTCTGTTTGGAAAGATTAAAGCAAAGACCTCAAACAAAGAAACCTTCTCTTCATAGATTTCAAGGCTGTGTGTCTTTGATGTTTGGCCTATGACATATGCCATTTTTTTTTCATGGAGGACACTGAGTCCATCTTACTGATAAGAATTGTTTAGATAAAAACTGTAAGGAAAACACTGTCTGGGTTAATTTTCTGCAATGAGTATCCTTGAAATTGAAAATGTCCTTTTTTAAGCTTCTCCCCTGATTTCTAAATAATCATGTCAACAGCAAGAAGATTGTGTTAGTTTGTAAAACAAGTATGTAGTGGT